AGGTAGATAATCATTTAAGTCTCTTTGACATTGGTCGTGCCGCTGGTCTGTACCGTGACTGCTCACGTGTCCTCCTGTTTTCCAGTCGTCTTTGCCTCTCCTGGGGAAGGCATCTCCAATAAACTTTCACGTAACTTACCATTGTACGGTATATCAAAAGAAATCTCGCTATTGACTTTTTTTTGATTTAAGCTGCAGTAAAATACTACAAGAATACATGCACATAATTTTATTTCTATATTCAGTAGCTTAAATAAAGTGGTTTAAGATTCCACCTCCTATCTTTCCCTCCTGCTTTCCTATAGTTCAGAGCATAGCATAACAGGATTCTTTTTTAGCAGGGGAAAACTCAGTATGATTTTTAAATCCTGCTGTGATGTGCAATGCAATCTAGTGTTGCTTATAAAACAAGAGCATGGGTTATACAGTTAACTGAAATTTTTAAAAGGCATTTTTGTCACCAAGGTCATGGATCTCATACATTTTCAGTGAGATTTTTGTCATGGGCTAAAACTGAGTTTCACCTGCAGTCTGGGTCTTAATGAGCTGGTAGGAGGGATTTGCGGCATTGGCAGTGATTTCTGCTGGTTGCTGGCTGGCAGCCAGAGCAGGGCTGCTCTTTACAGCAGCAGGGCTCTGCCTTCGCCAGCCGGAAAGGCACCGTGTTTTCAAGAAGAATGCAGTGCAGGATTTTCTGTCGGGTCAAAACCAGCGGGCTGTCCTTGCTTTGCTGAAACAATTGCACGTCTGCTTTTGTAGTGTGTGATGTCATGAGGGTGTTGGCTTTGAGGAATTCCATTACTGAGGAAGCAGTTTGAAATGCAGGCAGAATCTTCAAACCTTCGAATATATGCCTCGTTTTTCTTTAGCTAGCTTTGGACAAATGTGCAGATGGATATATATGTGCATCTTTTTTTGGTAAGGAATTAACATATGGAATATAGCAAAGAATTAAGTGGATATGATACCTGAAGGCAATGTCAAGTCGGTCTGGATTTTCAAACTCTCTTCCTCTACCGGGATATCCGTTCTACCAGGTGTCATGCAGGTATATCGTGTTTTAAGTTTTGCTTTTTAACACACTTGCATATAGAGCTGTAGCGTGATGCTTGTGTTAAATTTTGTTTGTTTCATTTCTTTGTTCTCTGAAAAAAAAAATAAAGAATTAAGAAGCTGAAAAACATAAATACAGTTTTAGAATGCTTTATGCCTGACTCTATAACTAGGTCACATTTATTTAAAGAAAATATTTTAATTTTTTTCTAAACATACTAAATATTTAGAGATTTTTTTTCTAACTGTAAAGATGAAGTTGTAACCCTGGAGATCTTGTAAGTGAGTTAAGTATTCAGATATTTCAGTCATTTACTATGAACTAGAGATCTGTGGTGTTGAGAAATGGAAATTACACAGATTTCGAGAAACACGAACCATGTTAAGCCTTTTCATGCAGGATTACATAAGGTAAATAAACAAAAGTACTTACCATGTGTGAAAAGGTGATAAATGCTTGTGTTGTGATAAAGCTTAATCATACAGACTTCTTATTGTTTTATCTTTTTGACTCAGTAGTCCTTCTCTGTTAAAAATCCTTCCTTCTGAGGGTGCTCTGTGACAGATTTCTAGTGAACGGGTTGGATTCTGACCATGAAATTACTGTTCCTGCTCTGGAAGACTGTAATGTTGCATAATAATTAGAGGGAATGTTTGATAATTCTTCTTTGACCAAAAGAGCTCGGGTTTCTGGCACACCTTAATGCAGGGGTTTGATCTCTGTTTACTGTGTCTAAATCTGAAGTCCCTGCTGCAACAATAACAGAGGGAGGGGAAAAGTGGAGTTTTGTGCTGTAACACATTTGAAGAGTAGAACAAGAGAAAAAGTTAATTATTAACATTTTCATATCCAGAGAATGAATCTGACAATCCATGAACTGCAGCAGATGCAGTGGTATGGGTTAGTTTTGTCAGGCTGCAGTGATAATAGTTTGTGAATAGAAACAAAAATGGTTCTTCATAGTGTTCATTTAACCACTTATCTGTGTGCTTCTTGAAATAAATTCTTGCACTTATTTGCGTATTTGTGTGTCTGTAGCACTCCCAGGCTATCTGGTCAAAGGTACCAGTAGGGTTTTATTGAAGTCGGAGTTGGCCATTTAGAGGTCAACCACAATGTCTGCTCATGATTGTTGTCCTTTGGCCTAACTTTGGAGGCTGCTGAAGTCTAGTAGCCTTTTTTTCTGGCCTTTTTTTGTGATAACAGGCATGAATAAGCCAGAAATTAAAGGTGATAGAAATTCAGTAAATGGCAGCTCATGTAAAAGCCTTTTCTTCCCAGAAGTATGTTAGATGCTTAAGTCAAATACACACCTTTTCACTCCTGCTCCTTAAGATCAAAATGACCGGCTCCTATCACCCATCTCCCTGGCTTCCACAGCGACCTTCTTGGGTAGAATGAAGGTCTCATAAGTTCCAAGTTCTTACCTTTCTGTTGTAAAAACAGATGGGTTGATGTTTCTGAACTTTTGGATCCCTTTTTTCTAAACGGCACTTTGCTGCTTTATTCTCCTCTCTCTGTTTCTTATGTGTTTTTAAATAGTTATTGTGCATTTAAACGAAGCCTGAGTATTAATTTTCAGTTAAGATAATTAGTTTCTGTGGTATGCTACTGAGATAATTAAATCCTGTTTTATGTATGTAGAATTGGGTGGACTTACTTCATTTCATCAGTGAGTCATTTTGACTTTGCAACTCTGGGTTTTTTCCGGTACCTGTAAGGAGAAATTCTTTACATTGTGTACAACCACTGATAACTTGACAGCTCCAACTATCTGAAATGTAAAATCAGTATTCTGCAGTAATTTTAGAGCTCATCCTCAGTGCAGAATTCTCCTTGGATGTTAACAGACGTCTGTTTCGGACTGGGGAATAATGCAGCTTACAGAGGCAGGACTGAATTAGGATTTTTAGTCCACTCCAGTTGTCATATTCTGATGAGTGAACAGGCAGTGAGATTAGTGTTTGTCATAATGGGTTGTAATCTCTGTGGAATGGGGAAGGTATGCATTATGTGTATGTATACACACGCTCAGGGCAGCATGGTTGGCTGTGAATTATGGAATCGCGTAAATTGGGAGCTCAACCTGGGGAATGTGGTTTTGAGACATATTGTAACTCATTTTTGGTATCCATGCAATCCAGAATTGGAGTTTCTTGGGAGCATTTCCATAGGTGGACAGAATTTACAGTTACAGAATTTATGTTGAGATTGATAAGAAATATCTGTTTCTTTTATGGCACAACGTAAGAGATCTGACATAGATACCAGTTGTAGAAGACACTGATTAGAAAAACACTTCCTCAAGTAGTTTTTCATCTTTGTTTTCCTTTACAGATTTGGTATTAATTGTAGAAATTGAAACCAAATAGTACTATCTATGATTCCTATACTTGAAGATAAGTAGCAGCAAATGTAGAATTAGTGTTGGCAGTTAAACTTTAATTGGTAGCCAAAGCATGCGAGTAAACCTGCTGCATGTGCTGTCTTAAAACGCTTAGAATGCATTAGCTGGGTCGCTTGCATTTTTGTCTTATATTTGCCTCAAAAATGCAGATTCAAAACCAATTCTGAGTGGGAGGCCTTCATTTGAATAGACAGAGTCGCACATCTCTCCTCACACTGAAATGTGAGACAGCACAAACCCCAAACCTGTCTTGGCTATGAAGCAGTTACTGGTGTTTCGGTAGTGCAGCTGGAGTTCTGCTGGTGGACTGTTACACCCTTCATAAAGAGATTCCTCTGCAGAAAGAATCTTCTTGTTTCTGTCACAAATGCAGAGGAGGAATGACATGGATGTTCTGCACAGTTGACAGATTTACAGTTTCCAGTGGGAGCTAAACAGTTTTTAGGGTGTATCAGGGCTGTCGAAGTCCTTTAGCCTAGCTGGTATCAGCAGCTTCTGCAGCTCTTTGTAGTACTGGAGTTTAATCTTCTAGGGAAGTTAATGGAAACCATGTTCACAACAAAAGGTTGCTGTTCAGATCAAGACTTCCTTGGAATCGTGCATGTTGTTACACTTTTTCTGTCTGCTGAAGAAGAAAAGGAGAAAAAACAAAAGCTAACCAGTGGAGGAGAGTGAAAAGTTGTGATTTTGTGAATTCAATCAGTCGGTTGCATCTGTGCAGTCGATCCCAAGTGCAGTAATGCAGATCCTATCCAGTCTTAGCAATATAGTAAATAAGCTCTTCTAATTGAAATTAAAAACCAAATTGACAGCACCTAACTGTGGAAGGGGAAGAGATCCTGCAGCATGAAACTATTGCTTTTTCTTTGCGGAGGGAGCTGCTACCCACTTCAAATGTTGGTCTTTAATTAGCATTCATTTCTTAAATTAAAAAAAGAGTTCCGCAGTTTTTTAGATAGCGGAATAAATCTTGATCACCTCCGTGTTGTGGAGTGTCAGGAGAAAGTGAGTGCTTCTAAAGAAACAGTTACTGAGTATCCTTGTAGCATAATCTGACAGATTTGTAGCATGATCTGACTAGTTAAACTAAAATATTTCAGAAGTAATAAGGGCAGGCAAATAGCAATCAAGAATAACAAACAATATATTAAAATATTTCCTTGTTTGGTAGTGTTAGTGGCTAACAATTTAATTTAATGTTACTGTTCTGAATATTGTGCAGTATGCATGTGTAAGGCAGGGATTTACAGTTGTATTTTTCTTGGAATAACTAAATCAGTTGAGGAAAACTTACTGTGTTTTTTGCTTTTTCTTGGTTTAGAGCCATTCCCTTTCCCCTGTAGGGAGAAGAGGAGAGGGGAGGGCAGAGTTTTTGACAAAATTGACAAAACATATGCAAGAACAAGGTGTGCTAAATCCAAGCTGGCCTTAGGAGCTGTTTCTCCATAGAATTTGATTTTCATGTGTGCATATAATAAAATGTAGCTTTCATGTTGGGAGAAGGAAATCGGTCTCTACTTTCTAGGTGGATAATTCCTTTTTCAGGATGTGGGAAGAACTAGTGAAGAAAGCTGGTGCTGCTGTAGCTGAACTAACAGTCTCCTTTATGTCTATAAAGGAGTATATTAAATTCTGATTTAAGTAAGAAGGAACGATCAAAATCTGAAGAAGACAGTTTATATCTTTTATGCTCTCCAATATTTAAGTTGTGGGCAGACTTATTTTTGTATTAAAATGGTTTAAACTTATGTAATTGCTTTACAGGCAAATGTAAAGATTGCTTTTAAGCAAAAACCCGCCTTTTTTCCAAGGGGCCTCATGATTAGAATGTCAGCAGTTATTTGGGCTTGACAGAACAAACAACACATTAAGAAAGCCTCACATAATAAAAGTAACCCATCAAGCAAGATCAAACTTGAAAAAAAGAGTTTTGCTTGCAGGGAATAAATGTTAAGTACAGGCTGCTCTCTGAGAAGGCAAATGGGATAGGAAAGCTGTTGTAAGACAAGGCAGGTTGCGAGATCACCATCTCTAAATTTTGTCTGGGAGATACAAGCACAAAGTCGGGAGTAGGAGATGTTGATTGAGGTGTTGCAGTTTCTGTGCAACTTTCCTCTGATACTTCCTTGGAAAGCTGGGGCTGGGTAGGAACACCTTCCTCACAAAGTGCCTCAGACGTGGAAAGTCTCTTCTCCCTTCTTATCTCCTACTTCTCGCCTCCCCCCCACCTGTTTTCCTCACTCTGTTTTAGTTACTTTTTTTTTTTAAATCTCCTCTGTTCTGTCACATCTAAACTAAAAAATGAAAAACTGAAACGCCACAGCCCTGTGTGAGTGGCTGATAGATCCGCAGTCTCACACATGGCTCTTTGGGAGCTACAGGACCAAGTGTGAAACTGTGCTGTCCTGGTGTTAAGTGCCACTGGTGAAACTGTTGGCAGTGGTATGTGACTGGCTCCGCCTGTGTTGAATTATATTGAGTATTGCCATTTTCAGGTACGCTGTCACGTCTGGCTTGCTTGGCTCACCTTTCCTCCTGGCTCCTCAGGTCTCTCTCCCCGTTCCTAGCGTGGCCCAGGTTACACTTG